TTGGTTAGTTAAGGTCATATATCAACTTCGATGTCTGTGAGTGTGTCTGTCTCTGTATGTGTATGTGCCTATTTGTGTTCGCTTATGAACAAAATCCGAAGTGATCATTCAAAGTAATTAGTACAGCAAAAATCACGTCTGTTTTTGGCCTTTAAGGTTTAATGACACCTATCTCCCCCTTTCTACATACATGTTATAACCATCACTCAGATTGCACAAGGTCGGACACACGTCTGGTTATGTTGATGAGACTTTCACTCGAAATGGAAGTAAGCTCAACAATTATGAAACAAGAGATTCCTTGAAACCCAACTTTTATTCACATAAACTAGAATAGATTTTCCTAATTCTCTTATTTGCGCCTAGTTCTAGCCTAGTGCGTTGATTGGAGAAAAATGAATAGTTGTTATTCGCCAAAATAGTCGTGAAGCCGTGTACCAGAATCTCGGATCGATACTGACGAGAAGGTATTCATCCCGGACTGTACATGCTTCGCATAATTTCGATAGCATTATGTGCTAGCAGACACCGGTCTTGCAAAATCTTATTTACAGACAATGGTGCATCGTTGAAAGTAAGAAAAGAAATTACATCAACAGCCTGAGACTTGATGCAGTACGGTCAACTTACATGGTCACTTCGAGCGGACAGGTTTATGCCAAATTGGTCATTTTCATCCAGAAAATTTAGGAAAGCCGGATCAAGTGGGTCTAATAAATCCTCCAGTTGAAACCAATGGTCTGAGTTGAAACTGTCTTCCACCACCTTGTCTACAGGGAATTCCTGTTCAGAGGTTTGGTTTATTCCCCTCTCGTCGTACTTCAACTGATTTGACTTTGGCTCCAACGTGGTGAACATTAATTCGACCTCTTCACTCGTCGATTGCACGCATTGAGTTGAATGCTGACTATGCTCGGGCTTGATGTAGTGCATTGTCAAGTCTAGGCGTTGGCTCTGAGTTAGGGCGTCACACGAAGCCAGTACATCATTCTGTACCAGTTGCTGCCCCAACAAACTTTTCTCGAATGCGTCAATCCAGTTAACAATATCAGAAGTGTTGGCAGCTTCCAGGCCAGTCAAGGAGTCAGATAGATCGCCGGATGGATACAGACAAGCCAATGAGGAGGGAGATATGGAGGCTGAGCTGGTGACCATGGCTGTAGACAAGAGGCTGGCTTGGTTGCTTGGGCTTGTCTGACCGTCAATATGGTAGGTTGTATCTCTATGTGCAACCATAGCAACGGCTGGTGGATCTGGTAGAACGGTGTCTTCTGTGCGTTGGTATCTTGTCCCGTCAGAACAGTTTGTCTTGGCGGTTCGTCGAGCATCCATTCGACCATCAACAGAGGGGGCAGGTGGTTGCTTGAGAAAGTGATGGCGATGAAGGACCGTGGGGATAGAGGGACAGTGAGTCGGTGACAGATCCGCTCGTCCAGGTGGGGGCGAATTGGACTCAGGGAACTGCAGACTGGCTGTCCCTGAACTGGGAACGGACGGTCTAATGTTATTCTCTGTTGCCATGGTGATTGTATGAACAAGTGATTCGCCACCATGCCGACGCCTCGACGACAACATTACGTCTGAACAGCTGGTAACAGAGGGTCTGACCGACGTGACTGGGGCCAATTTTGCATAGTCTTTGGGATGTGACAAGTCTCCTGTTGCCGCCCGTGACTCACTCGTGGGCAGACCGTCCGAGGTCAGAGGAACTCGGAAAATGCCAGCATTTTCGGCAGGTGAGGTTGCTGCCCGACTCATCTTCACGGGGGTTATGGAGACTTTGGATAGGGCAGCTGTCAAGATCGGCTTTTCCAGTGCACACCTTGACGTCGCCTTCTCCCTAGAGTGGATAGGATCAGTTGGGCCGACCGAGAGGCGGCTGTAGGTCTTAGGATCACTAAGTTGCCGATCGCTATCGTCGTAGCGTTTGGAGGCATCCGTCATGATTGGCGTTGGCCGAGATCTTTCACAGAAAGCATTGGATAGCCCCCAGGCAGTGTTGATCCCATCAATATTGTCTGAAGAGGCAATCAGTTAAGAAATGCAAAGACCATGAATACCGCGTTATTGGGCTTCTGTGATGCCATCACTCAAATAAAACGCGTAAAAGATAGAAGTTTGATTGAGACAAGACGAAAATATTCGTAAGTGAGTAGGGTTTCATGCTCCTACCCTACATCTCAAGACGACAATAACCAGAGTCTTGGCAAGTGATGCTGGATAAGAGCCAGTATAAACTGAAATGATAAAGGGAGGTAATGAGACAAGGATACCTGATCTGCTGTCCGCATGCTCAATGCACATGGCACCTTCCAGCTGAAATGGGCCGAGCGAAGTGGCAATTTGTGTGAATGCACCAGAAGATGACTTTTGAAGTGCTGCGCTTTCCTGTTTAATCGAGAAGTTGTCCAAAGAAACGAAGAGCCTGCCTTTGCTACCATCTGCCGGTCCATGGGGGCTGTTCGGCACCCGTGGCGGTGGATTCAGGCAAGGACTAGCCTCTTCCAGTGGAGTCGCCCGTTGCCAGGGCCTAGGGGACGAAGAAGAAGCGGTCAGCCTGAGGGGCAGCGTCGGACCAAGAAGGCATGGAGCATCGCAAGAGTAGGCAAGGGGGGGGGAGTCGAGACCCGAAGTACAGCTCATCCCTACTATTGGTGAAGAGATAACATCTGCCAGCAACAAATTCCCCCACAAATGTTGACATGGTTTTATTGTCTTAGTGAGATTTGTTTTCTTATTCCAAGTTATTTTGAAAAGTTTGGCCGTCTGAAAAGTAAAGGCAGTGTACACTGGCAATAGATAGTTGACATTCGAAGCCAACGGCTATCTCGAATGGGAATATAAACTACGCTTATTGTAGGCCAACTTGCTAAAGCTTGCCTCATAAGTAGTAGGTTGACAGATTACTTACGCTTGGATGAATCGGGCCTCTGAACTAACTACGATAAAATAGCCTATCCTTAAAATAAATCCAAGTGAGTAGAAATAAAGGAAGCTGACGAAATAATAATGCTTTATACCCGTTTTCTGAGCCTGTATCGCAATCAATAAACATTTTGTAGGACTGACTTTAATTTCTTAATTTAGTAGGTGACTAAACCAATCGGTGACTGGGCCGAGAATCGGCCAATCCTGGACTGACATCCGTCAAAGTGGCACTCCTGGTGGTCGTACATGATCTGGTTATTTCACGTCGTAGGCGTCAGACCTAATTGTGAGACCTGAAGAGCCTAAAAATAACTTTTTTATGATAACGCATAATTTCATCATATTCGCATTTATTGGGTTTTGAAATTGCCTTAGCTTTTTCAGTCGAATTTCCTCTGTCTAATTACCCCCGAATTGGATAGTATCAAAGATCGGATTTCATCATCAATGTCCAACTTTGCAGTCTGCTTAGAGCAGTGGAAAAATGTCAAATCTGACAAGAGGCGGATTTGGTCTTGGCGCAAAAATCTACCAATCTTGTGCTTTCATGCTCCATCAACGCATAGTATACCATTTGCAGGAGGACTTTGAATGAGCAAGCTGAAGCAGGGGCTCAAATAGGTTAGTGATTATGCTGTTTGATACCATAGCGGTCGGACTATTCAATAGGCTTGTCTTATTTTGCTAATTTTGAGGAGACCTTCACCAAAAACCTGCCTCTCATAAATTAGAATGCCCAAATGTGCTAATTGCCTGGTTTTAAATTGCCTATCTTAATTTGAGAGCACAAATGCTTATTAAAGAGTCCAATAGTACTCACTTATTTTATGTAGACTACTTCATCCCATTAACTTGTACAAGTGATTTTTCGTTTTCATCACACTTCAATCACCGTATTAAGCACACTCTCAAACACGGGCAAAAGTTGATTTCTTTCAGCGGCCCTTCTCTACCCTGAAATGATCGTAGACGCTTAATCACATACACATTGATTTATCTTGCTTAACATAGACCAAATGGCTTGGCAACACACTATGCTATCGTCTGCCCGAGTAATCCTTGGCGAATCTGGCTTTCTCTATAGTCTAGCATTAGAGGCATGTACCATAGATACAGACGCCAATCAAATTAAGCCAGTGGCGTTGCTTGACTGTTATTAAATAAGGACTTGTAGTTTGCATCAAATGGGTCTACAGACGTCGACAAATATATACAATTTCTTGATGGGACCATACCAAGAAGAAGAGTAGTATAAAGATTTCTTTGCAAACAAGGATAATTTTGCTTCCGTTGTAACGACACTAGTCGCCAACATTGTTTTAAGGTATGATATGAATAAATATACCAAATTTCCAAGAAATATTTAAAGCGTCCATCATTAAGCAAGACTAGCCGAGTTATGGCCTGGCTAATAAAAGATAAGAATTAATTTTTATTTAGTACCACTGACTAATTTCTCAAAGTTGTCTAGTTTAACCTCGGCCTTTCAGAAGACTAACCTCAAAAGGAGACCCTTGGCTTTCGAGGTATTGCTGGGAGTACACATCCAAATCTTCTTTAGAGGTCGGATTCAAGGTAGCTCCGCTTATTTTATCAGCCTGGCAGTAAAAGCTCCATACTTCTCAACCGAATTATGCCTGGTAGTCGGTACAGATAATTGTGCTATGACCTGATTTTATTAAAAGAAATAATATTGGTTGCGCACTCTTGATTGTTAATTTTGCACCTCAGTGTTTGCAAAAACCACTAGTTTCAAGGCAGTTAAATCTTAAAATTGAAATAAATTGCATTCTCAAACGTAACTGGTTATTAGAAAGAATTTTTTCCTTTTTTTAGTATGATAATCCGATTATTATTCCTTTTATTTACACCAAGAACAAACTTTTGGCATATTAATACTGGCACACCTTTCATTTAGTTTAAGAAAGCGGGTGGAAGGGATTCGTAGATTGACCTCACCGGATACAGAAGCAGGGTTGCCTTGGGCTTTTGTCTGTTGAATTGTGCGAAATAGACCTCAGCACACTTTCCTACGACCAAGATGGCTGTGTAATGAGGTTTCGTTCGTTATGTGACGGACATCGTCAGAGCAAGAAAGCATTATTCACGAACAATCACCAAAAAACTTAAACCAAGAAAGGTGGCCAGCTGAGACACTATTAACTTTTTATACATCACTTTGCGGTTTTAATGAAGAGTTCCATGATTTGTTTGACTGTTTAATGCTAGTCCT